AATATTACTGTTTTTACTGTATTTTTGATCAAATAAATGCAGCCACGGTGAGCATTTTCAAAATTGTTCAAAACCATTCAAAATTCTTGCCAACTCCAAACAGCTGTCCTATTCGGATTTTTAAAATCTGGAATATTGGTTTAGTCAGGTTATGACAGTAGATTACAGTGTTCATGTGACATGTATATATTCATAATATCCAAATTCTGACTATTAAAAGAATCGATCTTCAGTAAGTGCAGTCATTTTTATTATATTTATATTTTAGAAGTCACATTGTGGATTTGAAAAAGTGAAACGGCTCTGGAAGCAACAGTGTATCATGCAGACAAATGCCGTGGGCTGGATAGTTTATATTCGGAGTAGCATTTTAAGATGGACTACTGCAACTAAGTGACCTACTTTTCTCTTTAGTTGGAGAGGCCTTGATCATTACCATGCGACAGAGGAATGGCGGTATTATGCAGCATACGACTAGATGAATAATAACCTCGACTGAGCGCATATAGTCTTTTTTCGATCCCTGCATGCCTCTGATTTATCATTAGAGAAAACCAATGTCCAATTCTTTCTATGAATGTAACAGTATTTTTCCATCAGAACTGCTCCCAATAGATGTGCTAACACTTCTTCGGGTGCTTTGTGATATAAATCTGAATTAAATCTTGTTTTGACAGCCCATCTTGTGTAAAGAATACTCACTGCCCGTGCTGCCATTGTTACAACAATGCCTGTGATGAAGGTCAGGTAATACCCTGGGTAAGCTCCGTGCCAGATGGCTGAGAGGAGGAATGTGGCCGCAGTCGGATTGTACGGGCAGCGCTCATAACACACTCTGCAGAGAACAGCAACAAAGCTCACATTGTTTCTGAGATTTCAGGAAGTACACACATGCTCGGTCAAGATTATTCTGTTTATTTCAAGCATTCACCTTTTCAACCAAAGTGCTGTCTGAATGTTCCAGTTATCCAAGAACATCTTGAAGCTGGTGGCGAACTGTTTAGGACATGAAGAGAAAAGATGATATATTAGGGTTTAGGTCGAGCGAGAAGACAAACTCTGTTTTGGTCTGTGTCTTACCTCAATATTGAGTATTCTTAAGTTTGATATTCTGTCCCATTTTGGGGTGCCATCTGTGTTATAGCCATTAAACCCGAAACCAGCTGCATTGTTGATGGCATCGGCTGTGAAAGATTGAAAGAATCTAGTGAAAACACCATCACAAAGTGACTGATGCATATTATCTTATTCACAATGCCAAAAAAAACCTAACTAGAAACAGGGCAACTAGTCAGAGAAAATGCCTTTTATGAACACAAGAGGGCAGTATTATATTTGAAAATGGTCTATGCTTACCATTATGTTGCAAAGTATATACTGTATTTTTGTTATTATGTGAAAAAGCATGCATTATGCAATAATAAATATATTAAACATATTGTTGTAACATGACCTCATTAAACCACACTGAGTTTTTTATTGACTGAGTGGTAATAAAATGGTTATGCATTTTTTTTTTTCAATTTTATGCAAATATGTCATGGTATTTCGATTATGTAATGTGTCAGGAATAAGATTATTCTTCAGAAGTTAAACAAATATTTCCTTCAGTGTGCTCTGTTCTGTTGTGTACTGCACGTTTTGATAATGTCTATATATGTATAATTTAATACGAGAAGAGCACATTGTCCATCTGTTTGACTCACCTAATGTCCATACAAAGTAGTATTTGGGGCGTAAAGCCAACATGGAGATGTAGAGGTACAAGACCTGGATGTAGAAAGGGTTAGAGGCCAT